TGGGGGCCGCGTGGGGGCGAGGGGAAGAGGAGGAGGAGGAGGAGGAAGAAGAGGAGGAGGAGGAGGAGGAGGAGGAGGAAGAGGCCCCTTGGACACCTCTTGGGGTCTCCTGGGAGCTTTTTGGGGGCCTCTTGGAGGGTTTTTGGGGGCTTTGGGGGGCTTCTTGGGTGCTCCTTTGGCCTTCTTAGGGCGTTCCTGTTTTTACCTAACATCGAAGACTGATAGGTTTCTAATGGTGTAAAAAGAGAGCAGCACATTACTCCACAGGGGGGTCTGGGCAGCCGTTGGGGAGCCGTTGGGGGCCGTTGGGGGGCCGTTGGGGTTTGCCGGGGGGGATCGTTTTTCGCATACAGTCACACACTTCGTGCTTTTCGATTTCCCAGAACTCCATTCCCGGGCCACATTCTGAATGCCCGGAGCCAACTGTAGGCCACTTCGTGCTCTTCGACTTCCCAGAACTCCATTCCCGGGCCACATTTTGGATGCCCGGAGCCAACTGTAGGCCACTTCGTGCTCTTCGACTTCCCAGAACTCCATTCCCGGGCCACATTTTGGATGCCCGGAGCCAACTGTAGGCCACTTCGTGCTCTTCGAGTTCCCAGAACTCCATTCCCGGGCCACATTTTGAATGCCCGGAGCCAACTGTAGGCCACTTCGTGCTCTTCGAGTTCCCAGAACTCCATTCCTGGGCATGATTTTGAATGCCCGGAGCCAACTGTAGGCCACTTCGTGTTCTTCGAGTTCCCAGAACTCCATTCCCGGGCCACATTTTGAATGCTGAGGCAGGCTGAGGCTGAGGCTGAGGCAGGCTGAGGCTGAGGCAGGCTGAGGCTGAGGCCGAGGCTGAAGGCAGACTGAGGCTGAGGCTGAAGCAGGCTGAGGCTGAGGCAGAGGCAGGCTGAGGCTGAGGCAGGCAGGCTGATGCTGAGGCAGGCTGAGGCTGAGGCTGAGGCTGATGCAGGCTGAGGCTGAGGCAGGCTGAGGCTGAGGCTGAAAGCTCAAGGCAGACTGAGGCTGAGGCTGAAGCAGGCTGAGGCTGAGGCTGAGGCTGAGGCTGAGGCTGAGGCTGAGGCTGAGGCTGAGGCTGAGGCTGAGGCTGAGGCTGAGGCAGGCTGAGGAGGCTGAGGGCTGAGGCTGAGGCTGAGGGCTGAGGCTGAGGCTGAGGCAGGCTGAGGCTGAGGCTGAGGCTGAGGCAGGCTGAGGCTGAGGCTGAGGCTGAGGCAGGCTGAAGGCTGAGGCAGGCTGAGGCTGAGGCTGAGCTGAGGCTGAGGCTGAGGCTGAGGCTGAAGCAGGCTGAGGCTGAGGCTGAGGCAGGCTGAGGCTGAGGCTGAGGCAGGCTGATGCTGAGGCAGGCTGAGGCTGAGGCTGAGGCTGATGCAGGCTGAGGCTGAGGCAGGCTGAGGCTGAGGCCGAGGCTGAAGGCAGACTGAGGCTGAGGCTGAAGCAGGCTGAGGCTGAGGCTGAGGCAGGCTGAGGCTGAGGCTGAGGCTGAGGCAGGCTGAGGCTGAGGCAGGCTGAGGCTGAGGCTGAGGCTGCAGGCTGAGGCTGAGGCAGGCTGAGGCTGAGGCCGAGGCTGAAGGCAGACTGAGGCTGAGGCTGAAGCAGGCTGAGGCTGAGGCTGAGGCAGGCTGAGGCTGAGGCTGAGGCTGAGGCTGAGGGCTGAGGCTGAGGCAGGCTGAGGCAGAGGCCGAGGCTGAAGGCAGGAGGCTGAGGCTGAGGCAGGCTGAGGCTGAGGCGGAGGCAGGCTGAGGCTGAGGCTGAGGCTGGCTGAGGCTGAGGCTGAGGCTGAGGCAGGCTGAGGCTGAGGAGGCTGCAGGCTGAGGCTGAGGGGCTGAAGCTGAGGCTGAGGCTGAGGCTGAGGCTGAGGCAGGCTGAGGCTGAAGGCAGGCTGATGCTGAGGCAGGCTGAGGCTGAGGCTGAGGCTGATGCAGGCTGAGGCTGAGGCAGGCTGAGGCTGAGGCCGAGGCTGAAGGCAGACTGAGGCTGAGGCTGAAGCAGGCTGAGGCTGAGGCTGAGGCAGGCTGAGGCTGAGGCTGAGGCAGGCTGATGCTGAGGCAGGCTGAGGCTGAGGCTGAGGCTGATGCAGGCTGAGGCTGAGGCAGGCTGAGGCTGAGGCCGAGGCTGAAGGCAGACTGAGCTGAGGCTGAAGCAGGCTGAGGCTGAGGCTGAGGCAGGCTGAGGCTGAGGCAGGCTGAGGCTGAGGCTGAGGCAGGCTGAGGCTGAGGCTGTGACTGCGACTGCCGTTGCCACTGCGACTGTCATCGCGAATGCGACTACGACTGCGAGAACAGCAGAATTCTACAACTGGATTCTCATCCGAATCTTAAGGGGACTGCTTCCAGATATGCTCCTACACATCGATGTTAGGTTGCTTTGCCGGGATAATTTTTGACGCCGTCGGAAACCGTCTTGGGGCCAGTTTGGGTCGTCTTTGGGCTTTCTTGGGGCATATCTTTTAGAGGCCATCTTGGGCGTCTTGGAGGCTTCTTGGGCCGTTTAGGTGCCCTATTGGGGTGGCCTTGGGGGCCTTTTAGACGATCTTGGGGGCCTCTTGCGCCGACTTGCGCCGTCGGAATGCCGAGAAGCAAATGCACGTTTTTTTTTCACACACACACACACACACACACACACACACACACACACACACACACACACACACACATATATAGATGTGTGTACATAAACACAGGGGAATCGATGAGTTTGGCATTTTGTTCGTGCCCTCCTGGAAGACCTCCTGGGCACCTTTTGGGCCGTCTTGGAGGCCTATTGCGGGCCTCTTGGGCCGTATTGCGCCATCCTGAGGCCATCTTAGGCCGTCTTGGGTGTATCTTTGGCCGTCGTGGAGGCATCCTCGGGCCATCTTAGCAGTGTTGGAGGCCATTTTGGCCGTCCTGGAGGCCTCTTGGGCCTTCTTGGGGCCGTCTTGGGGGCCTCTTGGGCCGTCATGGGGCCGTTTTGGAGGCCTCGTGGGCGATCTTGGGGGCCTCTTGGGCCGTCGGAGTGTTAAACATAAGCAAATGCCAGAATATTTCAACCAACCCTAGGGAAATCACTGATTTTGGCATCTTCGGGCCCTCTGGGGGGGCGTCTTGGAGGCCTCTTGGAGGCCTCTTGGGGGCTTTCTGGGTCGTATTAGGCAATCTGGAGGCCATCTCGGGCCGTATTGGGTGCATCCTGGGCCGTCTTGGAGGCGTCCTGGGGCCACCTTCGCCGTCTTCGGGGCCATCTTGGGCGTCTTGGGGGCCTCTGGGGCCGTCTTGGGGCCATCTTGGGGCCCTCTTAGGGCTCTCTTGGGGCCTTTTTGGGAGCCCTGGAAGGCCTCTTGGGGCCATCTTGAAGGCGATCGATCAAAGGAGGAGATGGTATAACGGTCCCCCCCCCAACAAAAAAAGAGGCCACCATGGGGCCACAACATGAGTCAAGCCATTCATTTTGGCGTCCAGAGGGCTGGTGGGACAGCGTTCAGCCCCCCCCTCCACCAAAGATGCCACAATGCGGCCAAAACCTTAGTACAGCAAGGGATTTTGGCCCCCCAGAGGGCTGGTGGGACATTGTTCGCCCCCCCTCCTCCTCCTCCAAAGAAGCAAACATGGGGCCAAAACCTTTGTAAAACACATGATGTTGGCTTCCTCGCCGAGGCCGTTTTGGACGCCCTGAAACCTCGCGGGCCCCCCCAAAAAAAGTCCAGGGGAGGGGTAAGGGAAGGGTAAACCCATGCCCGTAGGGGAAGAGGTTTTTGCTTGTGGAAAAGGGAGAAGGAATCTCGTTAGACCACCTGTCGCCCACAGGACTCGTGGGATTAGAACAGGTCTCGCTGAGACGGTCTGGTATTAGTCCATCCGCTTCCCGTTCCAAGCACAGTGGTTTTGAGATCAGAACACTGCTTGGTCCTACGAGCAATTCGTGGTGTAGGCCTTTCGGAATGCCCCTTCGGTCGGTCTCTGCTCAAGTGGAGAGGAGGAGGGTCAGATGATCCGAAGATCGGTGCGATCGAAATGGGTACGGAAAATCTAGGCACGACTATTGACAACAGTTTGTTTGCCCATTTTGGATAGGATTCGCTGTCGGCGCTGCCGAGGGCGGTGTTCATTTGAGACAGACGGCCGCCTGCCTAACAGCGGCCACTCCCGGTTTGGTTTCGGACAACATGTGCGGTTGGGCATTGTACCCATGATTTCAACTATGAGGATGATGAGGAGGAGGACGAGGACGAGGAGGAATAATGGGAGGAAAGGAGGAGAAACGAGGAGGAGGAGGAGCAACGGGGAGGGACGAGGAGAAAAATGATGATGAGGAGGAGGAGGAGGAGGAGGAGGAGAAGGAGGAGAGCGACGACGATCAGGGTCAACGTTACCAGGGGGCTGGTTTTGGCGAGGACGCATCGACCTCCAATACAACCGTTGCATCACAACAGAGAGCGACAGCAGAGAAACTGACGACGCTGCGATGAGGCGGCGATCGCGACAGAATTTCATCCTTACCAGTGAAACTTCTCATTATGTCTTCGTCATCCTCATCCTCCTCCTTCCCATGAGCAGAATGAAGAGGAGGAGGCGGAGGAGAGGAGGAGGAGGAAGAGGAGGAGGAGGAGGAGGAGGAAGAGGAGCTTGAGGCGGAGGAGGAGGAGGAGGAGGCGGAGGAAGAGGAGGAGGAGGAGGAGGAGGAGAGGAGGAGGAGGAGGAAGGAGGAGGAGGAGGAAGGAGGAGGAGGGGGGAAGAGGGAGCAGGTTGGAGTGAGGAGAAGGAGGAGGATTTGAGTGAGGAAAGGAGGAGGACTGGAGGCAGGAAAACGATGAGGATGACAAGGAAGAGGAGGAGGAGGAGGAGGAGGAGGAGGAGGAGGAGGACTAGGAGGAAGAGGAGGAGGAGGAGGAGGAGGAGGAGGAGGAACAACAGGAATATTGGAAGATGCAGGACATTGTAGGAGGAGGGGGGACTTGGAGGAGGCAGGGCGAAGCAGGATCAGGAAGCATCGAGTCGGCGGCGCTGCTGCCCCAGGCCCCCCGCCCGGCGCAGCCCGACGTGGCGGGCGGCACCCTGCCCGAAGCGGACTGCCCGGGCCCCTGGTTGCGCGCCTGGGTGGAGTTCCAGGTGGGGGGGGGAGGGAGGGAGGGGGAGGGAGGAGGAGGCTCAAATCGCGCGCAGCCATTGCCCAGCCGCGTCTCTCCTCACCCGCCCTTCCATTTACCCACCCTTCCGTCTTCTTTCCCCAATTCCCGTGCCATAGAGATCGATGTCGACGTCGGGATGGAGGAGGGGGACGACGAGGAAATGCCGCCCGCGGAGGGGCCGTGGCGACAGAGTCGGCTGGAGCAACGCTGGGCCGTCGGCATGCAGCCGCCTTCCACCCGCCCAGCCTCATGCAGGGGCTGCGGCATACCGTTCAAGAATGGGGAGCTGCGCCTGGCCCCATGGGGCAGCAGAGACAGGGGACGGTGGAAGTGTATGGCATGTGCGGCACCGTCGTTGGGAGACGCAGCTAATCTCATCATGGCCGGCCACACCACCGAAGACCATGTGGAGGCGGCGTGTGCGGCCTTGGCCCGGATGGCGACGACGCGCCCCCGTCAGCAGGGGCGGGATGAGGCGGCAGCCGGCCCGTTACCGCCGCCATTCCACCATGACGGGGACAACGACGTGCTCCCCAACCGCGGGTGGTGGGAGCGCCTCCCGTGGACCGCGGTAGTGCGCATCGGCACCCCGACCTTCGCGCAGGTGCCGGATCGGTTCCGGGGCGCCTTCGTGACCGCCCGCCTCAAGTTGCTGGGGGTGCTGGCGGCGACGGCTGTGAGGGGGGCTCGGAGCAGGAGTGGCAGGCGCTGCTCCTTTTTGGCGCGCTGTTCCTGGCCCGGCCAGCCAGGCAGGCCACCGGCGCCGAGGCTCTCGAGGAACGATTGGCATGGTGGTGGGGTGGCCAGTGGGGTTTTTTCTGGGGAGGCGCGTCGGGCAGCTCCGCGCCTCCGGTCGCTGGCCCGCGCCTGGAGCAGGCGGGCGAGCGGGAGAGGCGGGCGCGGCGCGTCCACATTTTGGCAGCGGTCGGCGAGGAAGCGCGAGCGCAGGGGGTCGCGCGGGGTACCCCGCTGGCGCCGCGCAGCCGCGGCGCGCCGGAGAAACTGCGCGCCTCCTTCCCCCCGGCGGCCGACGGCGACGCTCCTCTCGCCCAGCGTTGGCCGCTCCCGACCCAGACTTTAAAGGGCGAGTTGCGAAAAGACGCGGGGAACTCCCCAGCAAGCCGGCCCAGCTGACCGCCACGGGCCTGCTTGGTGGCGAACGACCCCGAGGCGCTCGTCTTGCTTTCCCAGGTGGTCGCCAAGTTGACTGTCGGAAAGGTGCTGGGGCCCGTGCTCCAAGCTTTCCGAGTGGGCGAGCTGGTGGTTTTGGGGAAGGGGCACGGAGATGTCCGCCCGCTGCTTGTCGGGGCCAGGTTGCGTCGGCTGGGGGCGCGAGCGCTGGCGCGGGCCACGACCGCGCCAGTGCGGCATCGGCCGGAGATGCGGCGCCGACTTAGGTCGGCGTCGGTATGCACCTGGATCTGCTTGATCACCAGCTGGTGGCCAAGCAGCTCCAGGTGCAGTCCGACGCTCGCCCGAGCATGGCGTTCATCAGGGTGTACATCAAGGCGGCCTTCCAGCGCTTGTGCCGCGAGCCGGCCATCCGAGCCATGGCCGAGCATGTGCCGGAGATCGCGTGGGTCCCCGACGCTTGGCACTTTGGGTCGGCCAAGCACCTCTGGTGCGACGCGGCGGGCAACTTCGAGGAGAGCGAAAGCGTGCCCGGCTTCGATCAAGTGGGCCGCTCTCGCCAGCGGCCTTCGCTGCTGGCCAAAGGGCGGCGATCGCCCAGGAGCTCTCGCTTCGGCCCAGACGAGACATTACTCCTAATCGGGCGACGCCTACCTGGAGCTCCCGGCGCAGCACGCTACAGCCGCTTTCCAGCGCCTGGGAGTAGTCTTGGTCCCTCTCGGACTGGAGCTGAACGAGCGGAAACAGCAGGGGCGGTCCCCAGGGGTGCTCCGGGCGGTTCTTCGGCCACGCTTCGCGTCGGCGCTCCCCGTGCCCGGCGCGCTTGAACACGCGGGGCGATGTGGCAGTCGCGCCCTTTGAGCTGGGCCATAATAGCGGCCTTCATCGCGCAACGGGGCGCCAGGCGGAGTTCTGGCGGGCCTTCCAGCTGCCTTGCAAGAGCGCAATAGGCGAGCGCGGCCTGTCGCGACAGGCGATTGGGAGCTTGCTGCGCACGTGCGCCGGCGCCGCGAGCCAGTTTGTCCTGCGCGCGCAGTTCGCCAGCGAGGCAGACGCCAGGCGCTACGACCAGACGCTGGCAGAGCACTGCGAGGAGCTGGCCGAGCGGCCCCTGGACGCCGCGGCGCGTGACATCGTGGATCCCCCGCAGAAGCTTGGCGGAGCTGGGATGGAGGCGGGCCGCGGCTTTCTTGGCGGGCCGGGCCGCCCGCGCGCCCAGCGCGGCTGCGGGCGTCGGCGCGCCGACCGTGCCGCCC